CCCGACAGTGACAGAGACACCAAGACCCACTCCAAACCGTAATTTGAAATTGACATCGCACACACCTTGAACATATGCCAGAGTAATGATTATGGATACTAAGGGGAAAACAAAAAAACATGCCATCATAGGTGGCACTTTGGCAGTCGCACAAGACTGTGATGTTCTACGAGAGACGGAGACGCCCGCAGCCAGGCTCTGTGATTGTGGAATTCCCCTCCTCCGTCCATTGGGGGATTTCGAGTGCGTTTCACGAATTTAAATCACCGTCTTAAAATGCGCCTAATTGTGCTGCGGGCCTTCCCCAGTAACTTAAGGTAACAATAAAAAATGAATTGTCCGATTGGATTACTCTGTATAATTATTATTATTGCTCGCTATTAATATAGATCTTCATTTCATTCCAATTTTGACACTAGTCATTGATATTGCTATTATCAGCTTTCTATTTCTCTTAGATTGTATCTATACTTGTGGGTGCAGTTTTATTTTTACGTACGGCGCTTTGAGATACTTCAATATGAAAGGCGCGTTATAAAATAGGGGTTATTATTTCAAAGCCAAAGATGGGGATTCTTTACGGACAATTTTGGGGCAAGTGCTGTTGGCGAGCCCCTATGAAGGCCGGCACCACACACAAAGGGAGCGTTGTGGTGTCGTGGGTATACCATTATAAAAGATGTAGTTAGCATAATAATTAGTTGCTGTGGTTGCATAACATGTTTTTTTCTATATATATCAGTGTTTTAACTGAGAGGACTTGAGGCCACAGAGCAGAGTCGTACTCACCTTGGAGTCACAACACAACACAGCAACGAGAGCTGACTTGGGCACAGAGAGAGGGAGATAAGTCCTAACATTTGCTGACCATGAAGGGAACGGGTTCGCAGTTGTGTCAAGACAAACCAACAATATCCACCTCCGAAAAAGGCAGGCGCCACAGGGCGGAAGTTTGCGTCAATTGGAAAGCGGGGAGGTTCTTTCTTGTGGGATGGATCGAATAAGACATGAAATAAGTAAGTTGTATACATTGGTCAATTCATGATTTTTGTGTATCCGCGCATCGTGCTGTTAAAGTCGATCTGGCATCTCGTGCGCGACAACTCGTACAGGCAAGAGAAGACGCCCGCTCATCGACTCTGACCAAGAATACCGGGCTGTCCGTCCATTCATCAATACGTATCACAGCTACTTTGTAGGTCTGTGGTATAAAGCCCTTATTAATATTGAGTCGTGCATACACTTTTACTACTTTTGATATCAGGGTTATTATGTCGATTGCATCACCACACAGAGTGGTGCCTGATTTGACTTGCCCATCGATCGATACCGATGCCTTCGTAACGGTATTATAAAGTCGTACCGGACACCGGTTGCTTTCCCTTAACGGCGAGTATTCCGGGGTTTCATTGAGGAAAGACTTCCTTGCATGAGAGTCCTGTTGCCGTGCGTGCGTGCGTGGTTGAACAGCGTGTTTCCACCACTCCGCTGCATGCGACGGTAACAAACGAATCTCGTTTCCACGGGCAGCTGTCATTCAAATGGCTTTCTCTCTTTAGTTATTTTCAAACGCCTTTCTCACTTCTTTTGTCCTTGGTTGATGTTAAACTATTTCCGCCTTCCCATGCGTAGCGGCCCTGAGAACGATTGTTTAATGACCCAAATAATTGGCAGACACCGGCTGGAATGACCAGTTGCCAGCACCACTCCCGGCCGCCTTTATTTCCCCGGCGCTGATGTTTAACAACACCACTGAGTTAACCTCGTGGAGGGCGTACGACCCGGATCAGATATCACCCGTCACCGATATCGGCCGTGGTCGGCAATCGAGTCCAGGTCAGAGAAGTGTGTGCGTGCTCCCTGACCGTAGCAGTTTTAAATATAGTTTCCTGAAAACATTCAAAGCATTAATCAAGTTAAACAAATTCACGCTATTATTATTATTTCAGGTTTATACTAAATGACGCGGTGCGGTGTTTATTTAATCCAATTTTAACGAAATAAGAGGCGCACATAAATGTATCAGTTGTCATACTAAGCAGACACTTCACCAGGTTCGCGTTCAACAAACAACGAACAACACGTGTTGTAGGGACGCACAACAAATACCTCCATCTCCCCGGTGGTCGCAAGAGAACACAATGATCTGCTTTGACAAGCAGCTGTTGCCCCCACACCAAGTCAGCTACAGGCCACCCGCTAGAGTTGTTGTGTGGCGCGAACCAAGGAGGAGTGATAGAACGATGCCTTCGGCAGAAGCGTCCTTCAAGTGCTACAAAGATAAAGATGCCCCCCCCCCCATAGACGGAACAGACTTTTGTGGCAAGTGCTGTTAGCGAGCACCTAAGAAGGCCGGCATCGTACACGAACGAGGGGGTGGGTGGCCAGCACCACGCTTGGCTGCCTTTGTCTCACAAGCGTAGATGTTTACTGCACGCCACACCAGGTACCCATTTGAGGCTGAGTCGACCTAGGGGGGAGGCTGAGGACCGGTTCAAATGTTTGCCGGACTCGAACTCGGGTCGCTGTGTTCGTAGCACTGTGGTGCCAAGGCCGCGAAGCAACTTGGCAGCGCCCCGATTCCCCCCGGGCCCCCACGCCGAGCACACACCCTGAGCACCCACACGCAGCGCACACACGTACTGTCCTGGCGGGGGATTGCCTGGCACGACGGGTTTTAATCCGAAGGGCCCTAGGAGGAAAGTCCCGCGGTTTCCCGGTGCCAGGAGATTGGCCGACCCTCGCGGGACAGGTCACATTGCGGTGCCCCTGAGTTGGCTTAACATTGTCTGGGCGCAGAAAGGTTCACTGGGCCAGCCGCAATGAGTCATTGACGACATCCAGAGAGGCTGAGGGTGGGAATATTAGGCAAGAAGGGCGGACCAGGAGGTCAGAATTAATGAGCGCGGGAGAACAATGGGTGGGCGGAGTAGCAGTACTCGCCGTGGCACAAGGTCCAAGTGAGGGGTAGTCAGAGGTAGGCGCCCGATTGGCCGCATGGTACGACGTCACCCCAGGCCTTTGTAGTTTGGGGCATAAAAAGGTGGAGCCCGGGACGACTCTCGCGCTCTTGTCTTCAACCTCTGGGCTGCCAAGGCCCACTCCCTGCCGTCCTGCCTCCTCGAGCCGCTCGCAGCATCCGTGCGATGCCAGCGAGTGCTGCTACGAGGCAGAGATAGGTGAAGTTTTCTCTCGTCCTTCTCCCTCCGACTCTCACCGCGTCCGTGCGACGCGGCGAGAGTGAGTACAGCTTCGAGGTACCTGGTAGGAAGTTTGAGTGACTGGGCACTTAGGTGGCGGTAGGCTCGGCTCTCTTCGCGAAATATTCCCCCGGGGAGTGTGCATTTGCGCCGCGAATAAAAGTGAGCGCCGAGCATCGGCGTGGTGCCCGTGATTCCTAGCGTGGAGCGGCTGCGTTGGCGGACGCGCGGCGAGAGTGAGGGCGGAGCCGCAGCACGAACGCTCGTCGAGACGATCGCTCGCAGGTGCGGGCGCTAGCGTGTTTGCTGTCCACAGCGTCCGCGTGAGTGGTGGTGTGCGCGGGAGAGTGAACGCGGAGCCGCAGCGTGTGTGTGCGCGCTAGGAGATAATCGCCCGCAGGTGCGAGCGCGTCCGTGGCCCTGCGTTAGCGTTGGCTGTGGTGTACACAGCAGTTTAGCGCGGGGGCCCGGCGAGAGCCGATCGATGCGGTGGAGGAGGGAGCGGCAGGGGCGGACGTCGCGCCCCCCCACCTGCCCAGCGAGGGTGGTGGGGTGGACGTCGGCCCCCCACAGCACAATGTGCAAGCCACTGCACCACCGCTACCCACTCAAATACTACTACTACTACACACGTACATTCTTAGGCATGAATAACCATGAAAACAACAACAATGAAGCCACGATTTAGATTGTCCAAAGTAAAAAAAATATATATCCAGATAAAAGGAAACACATGTAGAGGCAACGGTTGGATGAGTGCACAGGAAGCCATAATGGTAGGTTTGATTTTTGACTTAATATGACACAATTTACACAATTGGAACTATACAATAGCAATTATCACACCCCTACTGGCAGACTAAAGCCCCAATTATATTCGAGCTCTTGGGAATTAAACATTTCCGTTTCATTGTCATGCAACAAACAATCGTTTTCAAGGTGTGAGAAATTGTGCCGTCTTATGTGGCGATAAGGGACGGCCTCAGAAGTCGTTCTGTAAGCCTTACATTCCACGAGCCTTACCGTGACACTAGGTGATGCAACTCACTCAGAGGGAGAATTCAGTTTAACAGACAAAGATGCCGAATGTAGAATCGAATTACGTGTGTAAATTGGGGCTACTACATCAAGCTTTTATTCATGCAAAAGAAATTCTGAACTCTTAAAAAGGTTAACATTGACGAGGCCCCATCGATGGTAAGGGTGATCATCATTTTAATTCACCGTGGTCTCTCGCCAGAGTCCAAAGCCACTGCTTTAAGCTGCACAAACATCGAACAGCCAGCCGTCCATTTCTTCCAGAATTGAAATTCCCCATTGAGTTGGGCTATCTCAATGGCCCCGTAACACCACGTCAAGTTTTCACATCATGGGACATGTTAACGTGCAAGGGAAATAAAACCGTTGACATTCTTTCACCGCACAATGCAACCTGGTCTGTGCATCGCAAACTCCAATTCAGGTAGACAGAGGTCAGGTCATAAGGTTAGAGCCCACAGGCTAACGCAGGGTCACAGATCAACAACAATTGAATCCGAGATGTCGTGAATATATTTCTGCTGGACGTTCAACGTTCGGAACAAACATCTACTTATTCGAGAACAAATTTTTGCACGACATTGATAATAGATCAGAAAATGTACGCAATTGGATGTGTGATTTCTTTTACTGCATATGTGTTATCCAGAGGATTTGCTTAAACAAATACTACTGCCAAAGAGTAAATTATAAAACAAAAAACCAAGGTCACCAGAGTAATTAATAAAACAGTAAAAAGTCTGCTTTGTGGTGAACACTCACCTGTTCTTTCCCTAAGACGATGATCAATCCTACGATCAACTCCACCACAATGGCAGCCAACAAGCTGAAGATAAACTGCAGCAAACAGGAAACGGCACAAAAGCAACACACACGCACGGCGATGAGCGTTAATGGAAGCAACGCAGCACGCTGCGGTATTCACGCTTTCATTTTTCACGGGGCTGTCGCGAAAGAAGGGGGCTACGCTTCACAAGACACGGCAAGGCGCAACGCTTCACAAACAAGGCCTGCAAGTTTCATTGCAGCAGAGTGGGGGGGGGGGGGCATCATTACAAAACTCCAAATATACAGCAGCAGGCGTCAGGATCGGGGTCGAACCCACAACCTCCTGTAAACAAGGCGAGGTAGATCACATCTCCCAGCCACCGTGAAGTGTGATCCAACAACCACTCATCGACATGGCATGAGAAAGCCTTGATATAGCCGTGGATTGACGCAGGACTGCTTATTTTAAATGAAATATGCATCGTGATATAGTTTACAAACTTGTGTTTTTAAGTATGAAAAATAAGAATAGGTTTTAGCCTTTCTGGCATTAAAACAGGAGGTGTGTTAAGATGTTTAAACACCAAATAGAAACCTTTTGCGAGGATTAAAGTCTGCATTAACCACACACAGTACTTGTGGTGAAAGTGCAAATAAACATGCTCTGATAATATACGCATTGTCTTTGAAACTGATTGGCTTACAGAGACTGCCTTCTTGATGGCATCGTCTCACCAGTGTCAGACCAGCGAACGCCAAAAGGGATCAGTGCAAAGACATTGCCACACGTATCGGAGCACTTATAGCTCAGGGTGAGCGGCTATATCATGGGACCTGTTTTATTGCCAGAAAGAGTAAAGCCTACTCTTCTCTTTTAAAGTTTGTAAGTAAACACACTTCCCTGTGCTAAATTAATTTCAACCTCAGAGTGTTTCTAATTGATGAAAATGTTAACATGTGTTTTGCAATCTTCTGTTCATGGCAGATCTACACATCATAGAAAGAGTCCTTCTCCTGAAGTGACCTTCATTAATTGGTGCGGGTGCATTCATCGTACAAATACACACCACCTGCTTCACAGCGAGCGTGCGTTACGAACCCCCGGGGAGGTCATTCGCAAGAGCGGGCCACTGTGTGTGCCAGCGTCATGGCCCACGTTTGCCAAATTCCAAAAAATAACTCGTGCACACTCAACTGAATTGGGATTACACACAGCAGAAGCAGCAGCAGCAATCAGCCATCGGTGGCAGACTAATGCACCACTTGCAGACCCAGGTGCTGCTGTTGTTAACATCGTGCCCACAGGGATAGCTGCCGCTGGGGGGTGCCCTTTCAAATGTATTGAGATGAGATGTAAAGCACTCTGAGACGCCCCAGCGGATAAGAAGGCGCTATAACTTAAAATAAAACAAGTCAATAGTATTATTACCCTAGGAACAAAGTCGTAGTGTGGCAGGTCCATACTGATATTTTCCAGTTAAATGTGAAACAATATACACTACTGTGTATTCAAAGTAAATACCTTGTTGAACTCTTGATTACTGGAATGGTTTATTGTAATCATTAAAAAGACACACACCGAACACTTTCAGCATTTAATATCCGTTGCTAGAGGGGGCTGTGCCCACAAGCCTAAAACACCCTTTCCCAGGATTAACGAAATTGTTTGACGAACGTTTCGGGCAAATTGCCACGTTATGAATGAACGTGCTGAGTTGTTCTTTGGCATTGCGTGGTGTTGTGGGGTTTTCCCATCATCCCATTTACAGTTTAAACATTTGTCATCTTTGCATCATCATCATCATCTACATCAGCCGAATTCTTTCCACTGCTATATAAAGACCTCCCCATGCCATTGCCATCCCTCACGGTCCCGCGAATGCCACCAATCCATCTCACTCCCTGCACACGAACTTATCTCGCTTGTGCCATCTCTGTCCTTAGCACACCGTATTGCAATAGACATTCTGCCTTCGCACCGCCTTGCAATTTTTCAAGCAATTTAATCCACCCTGTAATTTACTGAACCGTTGAAACTCTTCGTTACGTTGCCTATCTTGCTCAGTATGAATGCATCAATCGAAAGGTTGAGTAGTTTTTCCTGCTCTAGGCAGGGAGTGGTGACTGACTGGGTGGGTGGGTAAAATGCTTGTTGTGTTAGGGGGTGGTTTAAGGGGAGAAAGCTGCTGGGGTGAGGAGGCTGTGAGGAATGGGTTCTTTCTGTAAATGGCTATTACTGACATTTGCCAGTTCGGCAACCGGGTATGCCCCAAGGTGCTGTGTCAATCATTTTAACAAACGGACTACCCTGCATCACTGAACTCTGCCTCGCTAATGAATATCCTGACACATTTTTCCACAGTTTCTAAATAGCACTGTTCCAAAGCCTTAAGGCCTGTGTTTTTTTTTCAACATGTATACACATTTTATTTTTATAGTGGCCGCAAAGTTAACATCGGCTACACTATTACAGAACGGATGTTTGTAAGATAGGGAGGGATTGTATACTGGCAAGTACCGTATTAGGAAGCAATTTCATTTCCGTGGTGGGGAGGGGGAGGGAAAGCCCTATCCTGCAACAAATGAACACAAACACGAATTGTATTTGATTCTACTCCTTCAAAAGCACCAAAACTTTTATATATAAACAAAACCTGTCAAATGTGGGCTTTGAAGTGTTCAGTGTGAATGGCCGAAGGGGGTTAAAGTACAGTGGAAGTCTGGAACAATTACCACGGGATAACAATTCAACATCAGGGAAACAAAATCTGTTTTAACAATGCCACTGGCACCAGTGGCCTTTTACAAGTTTTTAACATGGTACTAACAAAACGACTCGACCCCAGTCGCCTTCTCGTAACAAGCCAACATGCCGCAAGAAATCGTTTGCATTTTGTAGCGCAGAACGCTTGCATAACATACCGCAGTCTCTCTCACTGACAGAAGGGACACTGAGGCACATTGAGAAGGGGTGGAATAATGACGTAAACGTGTCCGATAGTCAAATCAGACCTAAATACAACATTTATGACCTATAGGCAACATTTTCGGTGAAGCCAAAAAAAACAACGTTTGTATGGATTAGAAAATGCGACATCAGACGAAGTGATATCACTTCAGTGGCACCACTTCCGCACTTTTCCTGGGAAAAAGTTCCATCATTATTTTGACGATGTCCGAAAAAAAAAATATATACGCTTAAATTATTAAAATATGATACCTACATTAAAATAATAGTTTTACTGATGGAACTATGGTACAAATGAAAATTCAATGGTCAATAATTCCAATGATAAACATCATTCAATTTAGTGGACAAACAATTAAAGTTATTCAAATGTAATATGTAAACAAATACAATACAAAATGAAACTGGGCCTGAAATCCTGGAAATACAATATCTTATGAAGAAAAATGCTAAACTCATCTGAGTATCTAGGTATATTTCAGCAATAGCTCTTAATGCCTTTACCAAAAGATTTGCACTGCGATAAAGTATTGATCTAAATTTCGGGCGAGCAATCAATTCTGAAGTCATTTATCGTTGCTGTTTCAGCGTTAACTAATAGTAAACGAGTGGCAAATCTATACTCGCGAACAAAGATCGAGGCAGTGAGTGTACTGGCAAGCACACGTTCATCTTCACCACAAATAGCAACAATAAACATGACGAGCACTACAGCTGCATAGCCTGGTGGTCAGTGTGCTCTCAACTTCACTCCGCTGGCTGCCATTCCATTTTGAATAGGGGTGCCCCGTTTGAGAAATGTTAACTACCTCGCCTGGTGTACAGGAGGTCGTGGGTTCAATCCCCACCCTGGACGCCTGCACATTTGGAGTTTGCATGTTCTCCCCGCGGTCGCGTGGATTTTGCAGCACGCGTTCAGGGCATTTGGCTGCTATAAATGTCCACGTGATAAGCCACTTTCGTTGAGCTATCATTTCTGAGGGCCAGATCGCTTCTAAAAAAAAATATCTAACATAGTTCAGTGGGCCTTACCTGGCAAAAGAAAAAATTGTAGTTAATAAAAATCCCATGCGTCCTGCCAAAGCCCACTAATTTTATTTTTTTAAACGGTCAATATCAAGTTGGCTCCTCTTCATGTCTCCAAATGTGATTCTAAGCACGCTCCTCCCGCATGGTGTCTGCTTTTGTCCTTTTCTTGTTTTGTCAGTGGTTACATTTCTGATCCAGGCGTCAAGTTTCTTGTCAACAGATAAATATCAGCAAAACACGCACCCCTCCTACCACCGCGTGACTCGGGATGCCCTGTCGCGTGAAAATAATCTCAACAATACCTCAGAATACGCGTTAAACTGAATGTCTCACTAATGTAAATAAAAGTAAGGAGTTTTTATTTGCATGGCAAATGTAATATTCTGGTTTGTTTTTTTCTCTCGGTCTCTGTGAATCTGTGTGTTCCGAATGGGCATCAACGTCCTGCGTGCGAGGACATTCAATTGAATTGTAACGAGCTGCTGGCGGAAGCGATTGACATGCTATTTCCATTGAGTGCGTCAAGAATCTCGAGAATAATCCGCCCGCCAATGCGGCTAACCACTTACTGGTTAGCCACATTCACTTTGCACCTCCGAGTTAAATCATTGTTTCGCCACCACAGGGACTGGGAGCGCAGCGTTGAAATTCCAATAATGAGTGCAACATGACCTGCTAACACTGCTGTGGCCTATGTGACCCTCTTAAAGTTCGTGATATTAACAAGTATCCCAGCATGCAACTGCGACAATATCGAAATTTAAATGCTGCCTCACCACATAGGTCACCAGCAGAGGGATACCAACCACCCCATGCATCACCGTCATTCGCCACGATCAATCCACTGCTGGATAAAGGCCTTCCCGCCAAATCCGTCGCTATCCCTCGCAATAAACCCACGAGCTGATTTCATCGCTCCATCTCCTTTCAGATGCGTTCCATCCCTTGGCTTTTGCTCCGTCATTACTCTTAACCATCAACCATCTTTTCTGGCACGTCCTGGTCAAGCCCACTTATTTTTTACGTCATTAACCTTCGTATGTTCTCTAATCCATCGTCACCAGAACAGGGATACCACCTGGATATGACAATCATTTGTTTAATGAGAAAAAAACTACTCATCACTAAATCTCTTTAGAGTCTTTGGTCATTTTCTTTCACAATTGTTGCATTTGGAAGGGACCTAGAGGGCAGCATCTTGATATTTGGATGCATTTAGGCAATTATGAGTTCCAATTCTTATTTTATCATATTATGCCGAATTTGGAAGAGTAGGCCAAATACCTTCTCTTAGGGGGGTGCGAGCTCTGTACAGCACTGCAGGGTTGCACCTTTGGCTTTACCAATTTACTCGGCTGACCGTTATTAAAAAGGGCAATTCACAACTGGCAATGTTTGGCCTGGGGACGCCGTGAATTGCAACGCGCACTCACAACTCTCCAATTTTGAGTCGACTAGCATCTCCGTTTTAACCCGTTGGCTTTCCAAGCCCAACAATGATTTGCCTCACGATAGATTTTGTTGGGGGCGAGACTACGTAACGATCTGACCAAGCCAATTAAACTGCAACACACGCGTGCAAGCGTTCAAACGCGCCAATCGCGGCGGCGTCGGTGCAGTTCGCCGGAGGGCAATCCTCACGGGCAAATGCACCGATGGGACGCGAGACTTCGCTCGAATCCCTGCGACTATCCCTTTCAACCGCGTCGGGCGCTCGGCGAGAAACCGGGCATCGTACGCCCACTTGATCACGAGGGGCGCCCACTTACGATGCGCAGAAGCGTCAGGTTGTCGCGCAGAGCTCCGACGAAGCCCAGGAACGACACGGGGAAGGAGATGCAGCCGGCAGTGATGAGGATGATGGACGGCGACAGGAAGCTCCCGTCGAGTGTGCGGTAACGCCGCCGCTCCACCTCGGAGTACGCGCCCAGCAGCAGCAGCGTAATGCCCAGCAGCTGTCAGACACGCGCCCGCAAACCGATACATGTTTTTACTATTGCACCTCCGTACGCTGCACATTCCTCATTTTTCGTTCTTCCTTGTACGGCCGACGTTGATGGAGAAGCACGACAATTATGATTTTTACATTGACGTGGTTGAGCCAGATGATTGCGTCAGGAGTGGCGGAGCGTATCGCCGTGACGATGCCCCTCCGTGTTTGTGAATCGGGCACCGAGTCCATGGTCTGTTCTGGGCGACACAGTTGTACATAGCACAACTTGTGCATCAAGTAACCGCATCTGCTGCCATAGTTTGTGCGCATGCGGTTTAGGGTTGCCCGTGCGGGCAGAGGCAGTAAATTATTGTTATTATTCTCACTAAACCTTTGCAACATGCTGATTGCGAACTTTCCTGCACGGGATATTATTTGGGTTTAAATCTCCCCGCAAAAGGGACATTAGGACACGCACGCGCTAGCCGCAGCGATGAAGTATGGTCCAACAAACTCCTTGACAGCTCGGTGTGGGTGAGGTGCAGACGACACGGCCATCATCCAGCAGTGGATTCACAAAGGGCTGTTTTTTTTTTCAACATTGCTTTTACGCAATTCATGCATCACAGGTTCGCCGAGTACTTCCTCTAATCTATTCCAGTTATCTCATCGTCACCATTACATTCGTACGTACCATTCTTGAATCCGTTCTTAAATCTCTGTAAAGCGCCTTCGTCAAGGCGCTATATAAATAACGTTTCGACAATAAGATAAGAAATGTTAAGTAATATATCAAGGGTTTGTTGGCAAAAATGCACAGGAGCGATCTGGTGGGTTCCCAGTGTAGGACTATGTAGGCATTGTGGCTGTACAGGGCATAGCTGTCCTTTGCATGTTTAGGTTGTGTTCGGCAAGATGTCCGACATTTCTCACCGCATGCTGGTACAAAGTGAAATAGAATGCAGCGTTTCTTCTCGAACAGTGGTGGGGAGAATAGGGAGAGATGAGATCATAGAGGTATGGCGTAGGGGAAAGTTGGATATGAAAGGTGATGCCGAACAAGGCCCGGCAGAGGGCAAAAAAAAAGCTGCCAGCAAGTGAAGCAAAACATCGGGCATCAAACTTTGTCAGGAACTCAATTCTGACGCAGTTCCTGGAGAAGCTGCGAGCACGCGGAGCGACACCACAATGCCGAACGAGGAAACTCCGGCTTTCATCAGCACAGCTTGGTCCAGGGCTTATAAACGGACGCGGCTGGATGATATCGGTCTGGAAAGCTAAAAGGCCGAATGGCTAAAACATTTTATTTACATGTGCAGAGAAAAAGCACACGATGGGACTTTGCATGGTTGATGTGGAGGATGAGGTCCTACTGGGACATGGATTCTGTTTTATATTGATCCTGTTCAGTTTATATTTTTGAAGAGTTGAATATTGTTTCATGTTTTTTATCACGCCAAAAAATTATTTTCGAGTCAAAGAATGAAACGGTTCATGCTGTCACAATATATTCCAACGAAAATTGTTTTTATCTTGACAGCTCAAGAATTGTACGGATGAATAATAGGATAAACATTGTTGAAGTGAACTTTTAACCGCTGTTAAGTCTGCAAAGTTTTCAAGAAGATGTTCGGCAATATTGTTGTTCTATTGCACAAAAAACACAAAAACACACATGCACAAAAATAACGAACAAAAATAACCACATCAAACACCTGCACCGCCTGGTGAAATAGTAAAACATATATCAGAGTTGTTTCTGCTCATTCCGCAGGGTTTCAGCCACAGTGAGTTTATCTGCCACAGGCTATATTGTGACGAACGAAGCAGAGCCTATTGGTCCCCGTGGTGGTGTCTTTTAAACTCCAGTGGCAGCCCTACAGCGGCAATTAAACTCACTACGGGAATGGCACAGGCTCCAAAAGCCTCGCAGGTCCTGCGACCCTGTGATCTGTTGATGCAATAAAATACGCTTCCTCCTTTCCGACAGTAGAACTCGGTGGGCTGAATTCAATTCCCAGCCGGGGCTAGCATGCATTCGTGGTCGATTCATATCTCAACTGGCCCTGGTTGCATCCTCCTTTCATTGACCTGCGCAGAGCGGTGAAGTCAATGTTCCAAGGGCCACCCACAATCGACACAGCGTGCTGGTTGTAAACTGCGATTAATTATTCATTTAACGAAGGGCATAGACAGAAAAGGTTAGAATAACCTTATTGAACAATCACATACGAGACAAGTCTATCTCAATGCAAATGAAATGTGAAAAAAATATATATACAGCTGCCAATTAAAACAATCCTTTCTCCAAACAGACAAGTGTCGAGTGGATTGACGGTGATCCCTTAATGGGATCCCGACGGTAAGAGCTAATTTCATGGATTGAAATAACTACTCCTTTTTATTTGAAAGGTAATTTCCCGTGCTAATATTTGCCCAACAAAACAGCGCTGTTGGCAGGTACATTAAATGCGATCAGCCTCCAGCCGGGGCACTTTGTATGCATGCATTTAAATTATAATGGGATATGCCAAGTCCTGAGAAAGGCTCGTGTGTATGCACACATTTAAATTGACTGCTTACGATACTGGGACACTTGCCAACCAACATTATGGTCTCCGAAGTCCACTCTCAGATTGTAATCAGTTAGGCGTTTTTTTAATTTGATCTGATGTTTGGTCCCATTGGAAATTTCACGGTGCAGCAGCTGATTAAGGGATTTTAGACGGGACTTCCCATAAAATCCTTCACGTTGCCTGATTTTCTGTTCTTCTCTGAGACTGTTTTCCGCACGACTGTCAAATGAGAATATTTGTAATTCTCAGTGGGAGTTAATGACTTAACGGTCCTTTTTAATACTCTGCTGGACCAAGACCTCCCCCCCCCACGCCATATTGGCATGGGGGTTGCTTGACCATATTTCACCACGCTGGTTGGTGCGGATTTTGTGAAGGAGGAGGCCCAAGACAAGTTCAGATATCGCTCGCCACGAGTGTTTGTCACGACTGGGAATCAAAGCCGAATTGGTAGGTTTCAGGCACGGTTCGTCCACTAGGGGCGTTGGTGCGCTGCCCCACGAAGCAGCTGGAGACGATAAATTTTTTTTTTAATAAAGATGACTTTCCTATAAATAGTTTTGTTGTGTCTATTTTTTTTTAAATATGATTCTTTCAATGTGAATTGTCTTAGGAAGATACCATTTTAAGTTGTTCATATCAGAAACCGCTGCAACGCCACAGTCTGCTTCGTGCCTAGGGAAGGTCTCGGTGCAGCTGTGCAGGCGTCCCAGTGAGAGATTCCCAGTGAGAGATTTCCAGCGAGAGATTTCCAGTGGGAGATTCCCAGTGAGAGATTTCCAGTGAGAGATTTCCAGTGAGAGATTCCCAGTGAGAGATTCCCAGTGAGAGATTCCCAGTGAGAGATTTCCAGTGGGAGATTCCAAGTGAGAGATTTCCAGTGAGAGATTCCCAGTGAGAGATTTCCAGTGAGAGATTCCCAGTGAGAGATTTCCAGTGAGAGATTTCCAGTCAGAGATTCCCAGTGAGAGATTCCCAGTGAGAGCTTTCCAGTGAGAGATTCCCAGTGAGAGATTTCCAGTGAGAGATTTCCAGTCAGAGATTCCCAGTGAGAGATTCCCAGTGAGAGATTTCCAGTAAGAGATTTCCCAGTGAAAGATTTCCAGTGAGAGATTTCCAGTGAGAGATTTCCAGTGAGAGATTCCCAGTGAGAGATTTCCAGTGAGAGATTCCCAGTGAGAGATTTCCAGTGAGAGATTTCCAGTGAGAGATTCCCAGTGAGAGATTTCCAGTGAGAGATTTCCAGTGAGAGATTCCCAGTGAGAGATTCCCAGTGAGAGATTTCCCTTCACTGACTGCGTTGAGCAGCTTCCAGCGTTGTAGCCACGCCGCTTGAGACTCATTCAGGGTGGCGAAAAAGGCGCCCGTGGCTGGAATGAGACGGTGGTGTCACAACGCGAGGTGGCGCTGTGTAAATGTAGCAGGTCATGGAGCCTAACACGCGCTAGGATTTTGGCAGTGTCGAAGGGGTTGTGTAGTGTGAGGGCCATGGGGACATCATTTGAGTGATTTGTTTCGTATTGTTTATAAATGCCTACCGTTGGTAGATAAGAAAGTTATATCACTTTCACGGGAAGGCCAATAACATGACGAGGTGTTTCTTCATGAGAACACAATCCGACATTTAAACGATCAAGGGCATATTCCACCTTCGATCGTGATAAACTAGGCTATAAACTTTATTTTTTATTTTAGCAGGCAAGGCTCACTGAGCCATACAGCTCTTTTTCAGAAGTGACCTGGCCCAACGAAGTGGCTTATCACGTGGGCATATATAGCATCCAAATACTCTAGACGCACGTTTCTAAATATGGAGGGAAAAATGGAGGCCTCGGATAAAAATCCACGTGACCACGGGAAGAGAGAGAGAGACACAAACTCCATATATGCAGGCGTCAGGATCAGGATGGAACCCACGCGCTCCTGCATACCAGGGGAGGGAGTCAACATCTCCCCACCGAGCTGATACAAGAAGGACTTGTTGTGGTCATACTGCTGGTAGTGTGAACCTTGGCACATTTTTTACAACAAAAGCAACAACACAAAATCTTATTCAATGGTGCATTTGCCTCCATGTGAATTTTGTCCTGGCGAGATGGGGGAGGTGGTGTTATTTATTATATCTTTAAAAAAAAAAGAATCAATGTAAAACCTAGGGAGCATGAAATTAAATTCAATCAGGAGAATGACAGTCCCTTTAGAAATGCACAATAAACACACCTGCAGAACATAAAGACTGAAATAATATGAGGAAAATACGAAAAAAGTAAATATATAAACACACCAAGAACGTTATGTGCAGCGAGTACATTTTTTATAATACTTGAAAAAATTGACAAAGTGTCATATTCTGCCTCAGAGTAAAAAAAAAAACACGTGAAAAGACATTATCTCTAACACTGTGGCAATATAAATCCGCAACGTTTCTTCAAAGGAAAGCAGAAGG